GGTATAAATGATCTGTTGGTTGCTGATGGTCATGTAACTGTCAATCATTGGAGCAGGCAGTGCTCTGATGATGGATCCGTCTGGGTTGTGGAGAGAGATTTGTTCCTTGTCCTTGTAGCCCACTGCTATCAGATTGTTGTCATCCACTGCTAGGCATGATGGTTTGCCGTCAGTGTCCGCCTCCTTGCCTGGAGAGAACTGGCTCAGAGATTGGAAATCCTTGTTGAGGACGGTGACTCGCGGTCCAGAAAGTGTAATGAGTTGGTCAAATTCATTTACAGAAATACTGGAAAGTTCTTCAGTGTTATTGTCTACTTTTAGAACTGTAAGTTGTGGGCTAAGTGTAACTATTTTGGCATTGCTTGTGTTTGTAATGACTATATCACCTGTGGAAAAAGTAGAAATGAAGTCTCCAAGGATCTTAGATGTTTTAAATAATTTCCACTGTTCCTTGTCCAGGACTTTTCCCAATCGAACATCATCATAATCTTGCTTGAAACCAATGAAAGAGAGATCATTAGTCATTTCATTGGCACTATCCTCAGTGACATCTTTGAAGTCATGTAGGAGGTCTTCCCTGGACTTCAAGATTTCTCTGCGATTTGCATCAGTTATTTCTCTGTCAACCATCTTCACTGTCTGCTCTGCCACCTCCATCTCAGCAAGTGTTTTATCTTTCTTTCTGTATGTTGCCTTAGCTATTTGTTTGAGTTGTTTCTCCTCGTGTCTGATTTGTCTTATCTTCCTTTCTGCTGTTTGAGAAATGAGATCATTTGTTTCCCCTAGCATGACTCCTAATCTGTCTCTCAATGACCTCCAACTGCCTGAAATGTTTACATATGCATCCACTCTGTATGCTTCTCCAATTTTGTCTCGAGCATCCTTTAGACAGGTGTCAACAGTTGTTTTCAAGTCAATATACATGTGGATGGGCTCTTTGTGATTTGATGTGGCACACGCCTTACAAATCAACATCTCACAAGTATTGCAGTAGAAGCACAGTTCCTTGCTTGGATGAATTTCACACCTAGAGGCATCCTTTTTTGGAACTGTGCTTGAGGCAGATTCCTTTAACTCGGTTACTGATGTAATTGTGTGGAGGTTTAGAGCAGCCAATCGTAGGTGTGCCATGTGGCACTTCTCACATAAGTATTGCTCACAATCCATGCATCGAGAAATTGCCTCATTCTCCTCATCACATGATTGACATATGACCACTATGGACCTCTCACATTTCAAGAGCTGTTCCTGCTTTGTGACTTCCTCCACCAGGGAAATCAAAGTGTAGTTGGTGTTCAACTTATCCACTCCACCCTCAGGCAAGGTGGTCTCTCTCTGGCACAGTGGACATGTTACCTTGTCATCATTCAGATGTTGGCTCTGCTTGAGTTCTTGGAGGCATTTCAGGCAAAAGCTGTGTGAGCAGTGCAACATCTTGGGTTCTTGGTAACGGGTGTGGCAGATGGAACATTCCAGATGACCTTGGATGATAGAATCCAGAACTGACTCTGCAGTCACACCAGTTGCCATACTGAAGTACATTACCTGCAGTTTCCAAAAGTTAATACAACTAAAACATGAATTGATTGTGAATTTAGTCACAGCACCAAACCTCTACAAGTGTACGTACTGGTTTCATCAGAAAAATAAAAATAGAATTACATTTTGTTCGGATCATTTTATTTGTCATTTGTTTTTTCAAATATATAAAATTATGCTGTCTCTTGATGCTGAAAAAAGGTTACTTTGCATTCAAAGGAACATCTGAAATTCGACAACCACTGTGCAAATTTAAGACATTTAAGCCACTGAGAAGTACAATGTGACCATTGGAGGGTATTTGTTTTTATTTTTTGCTTTTCATACTCTCAAAATTGTTAATTCCAGAAACAGTTATTATTGATCCAGATGTACACGTACATGTAGCACGATTCCCAAACTTCAGCCTTATAAATTCATGTTTTTGACATTTCATAAATCCCATTTACTTCTTTCAAGGTATGTCTAGCACTGTGGCCTGTTCCTGATTTCTGAAATCAATACAGCAGTCACATCACAAACTCTGCACTCACCGTGTCGCGATAACCTCTTCACAATCCTCAGAGGTATTTTCACAGTCTGTCTTTCAGGCAGAGTCGTGGTTGTGCACATGTACAGTTGAACAGACATGAGTATGTTGGCTGATCATATTATTATATGGTTGGGTGTGGCTTTGACCTTTATTTTTAAATATCTATTGACACAGGTTTTTAGTTATCTGATCATGACTGTATTGACAGAGGCACGTTTGGTGGACTTTGGTACATCATTCCAGCTAGCAAACACATACGGTATTTATTTTTCCCTAACACTCTAAAAAAAAAATTGATGGAAACGAACTTCAAGTGGCAGTTACTGTAAAGCTTTCATCCATGAGATTTTGTGTACATCTATGAGATGAACTCAATTTTATACTGATCAAGATGGTAGAATTATATTCGGCTGCATTATATAGGACTTGCCAAGGTTAAGAAGTTTGCAAGGCATAAAACTACTGATTTATTGGGTTTGGGTTCGATTTTTGGTGATAACTTGATGGTTCCTTTGTGTTACATTTGCATTGAAACAAGTCTTGTACAGTGTATTTCTCTTGCACTGCATTTTTCAAACCACCCAGCAGCAAGTGGTTAAGCAGTACAGTATGCTATGGAGTGTAGATAACTACACTTCAAACCAACGCTAAAATAAGCTCTCCCTGAGTTAATGACATTTTTACTTGATTCAAATTCACAACATGGTTCATTTAATAAAGAAAGTCTGATATTTAAGGAATTTCTTTACAAACATCAAGGCTATAGCCTTGTGTTTTTATTAAGATTTTGGGTAAGTTTGGTAGACTCAGCAAGATGAGAA